GGGCGCGTCTTCGGAAAAATAATCGAAGATTGCTAAAAAGGTCAGTTTTGGGGAAAATAAAGGGAGTAGAAGGAACATGTGGGGAAAAATTTTGAAAACAAAAAATATGCTTTTAAAAGTAGGCAAATACAAATTAAAGAAGTGAAAGAAGGAATTCTAAAAAGCAGAGTTCTTTGACAAAGGTTTTTTCAAAAAAATATATTATAAATATTATATATATATATATATAATATATATATATATATATTTTAAAATTTTATATAATAATTTTTATTAATTTATAATTTTATAAAAAATATAATATATTTTGATTAATGATTTAAAAGAAAAGGAATTTCAAACAAACAGCGAAAAATATAAGTTTTAAGCAAAAAAAAATTTTTCATAAATTTAAACACCCAAAAGCTGGAAGTAAAAAACATAAATAAAAAAAATTTTTAGGTAAAATAATAATAAAAAAATAATAATAATAATAATAATAAAATAATAAAATAAAAATAAAAATAATAATAATAATAATAATAAAAAAAATAAAATGATAAAAAAAAATAATAAAAATAAAATAATAATAAAAATAATAATAATAAAATAATAATAATAATAATAATAGCAATAATAATAATAATAACAAAATTAGAAGAAAAAAAAAAATGATAACCCTTGGGTAAAAGGGATACAATAATAATCTTTGGGATGCACAAAAAATCAGTCTAGAAATAATAGGCACAAGGAAGATCACCGGATAAATAAAGAAGAATTAAAGCTGAGATAAAATTTAAAGAAGGAATCAAAATATTAAACCATTGATTTCCGACCCTAAGGGTTTTCTGGTTTTTCCAGAGGTAGGTGGCTCCCATCAGTGAATTATTTTGCTGTGTATTTTTTTAATTAGAGAATTTAAAATTGCAAGTATTACATAATGCCGAGAAAATTTTGAGTCCCACAGAGGAAGCCCAAAAAAAAAAGTAGCGCGTTCAGACATAAAATCAAAGCAGTCGAGCTAAATAATCTGGGATCTACAGGGGAAAGACTTGACTCGGGGAAAACGTAATGACACGACTGCAAATTGGCTCAGTGGCTAACGCGACGGTCTGGAGTTTTGAGACTCTCTTGCTGCAGGTTCAAACCCCATCCGTGGTATGGTTTGTTAATGACTTGTAAAGAGCAGAAATTTTTAGTTTAAGTGTAAAGTTTGATGGGCACTTAACTCAGGATCAGTCTATACAAATCTCATATATGCTTCACAATAAATATCATCTCGAAATTTTCTTGGTTTTTACTTCTCTGAATATTTTATTTTTGTGTGAGGAAGCAGGAATATTCCACTGATTCTTGATAGTAAAACCATGATGAAAATAAGATAGTATGAAATAATAATTTCAATGACATTTTCCTGCGGGATTATCACTAAATTTCTGATACAAATATCAGCAAATATTCATTTCGATAACATTTTCTGCTCTTTGGATTTTGTGATCTAGACACCTACGAAATACCCATGTTGTGTTTGATCTACAGCGGCTCTGCACGTGCTGAATATAACAATACTAATTGTGTTGTGCGCAGGTCGCTGGTCGGAGCCACACACAAACACGGTGAAGATAACCTCCCTCGAAGCCGCAAGTGATACACTGTGGTTAATCGACCGAATCAACGACAATGAGAAGAGCAAAGAGGCTTTGTGGGCTGCCTCGTGAAACCGACATCATGGAGGCTTGTGGTGCAAGATCATGTTTCAGGTATATTGCAAAGTCTACTGCATGATTGAAAACTGATGATTTTTTTCGCTGCTGCAATAGACCTCTCTGACTCTTTTTTACGTTACAATTTTACTTCTATCAATGTGTGCCCAGTAATCTTATTGACGTATAATACCTATGGTCACTGCGTCATTGCAGTTCACTGAGTCACAAGTGATAATTTCTGTAGATAAGGAGACACGCAAATTCGGCTGTCTGGATTCAAATGTTTGTACTCAGTCACTCAAGACCTCGATGTCTGTTGTCTTTTCTGTGCCATGTCAACCTAAAGATCTGTGGTGCTCTTATATGTCATATTGACCAATTGTAAAGGATTTCAAGGAGTTTCATAAAGGAATATTTTGTCAGTATTTTCTATAATACTTCTTCCTCGGGTTAATCCTTCCTGATGTGTTGACGTCAGTCTCAGTAATCTGTTTAGTAAGAATCATTCTCTGTGAAACTCTTCTGGTCCTTTCTTATATTACAAGATTTTTCATTTACTCATTATAATATATATATATAATATATATATATATATATATATATATATATATATATATATATATATATATATATATATATATATATATATATACATATAATCCGGTACTACTGTAACATCTTTCATATTTGAAAACTAACACAAAGGGGGCAGTAAAGCAACAGCAAAGAACTACAGACAGATAGCACTAACATCCCATATCATAAAAATCTTTGAAAGGGTCCTAAGAAGCACGATCACCACCCATCTAGAAACCCATCAGTTACACAACCCAGGACAACATGCGTTTAGAACAGGTCGCTCCTGTCTGTCTCAACTATTGGATCACTACGACAAGGTCCTAGATACACTAGAAGATAAAAAGAATGCAGATGTAATATATACAGACTTTGCAAAAGCCTTCGACAAGTATGACCATTGCGTAATAGCGCACAAAATGCGTGCTAAAGGAATAACAGGAAAAGTCGGTCGATGGATCTATAATTTCCTCACTAACAGAACACAGAGAGTCGTAGTCAACAGAGTAACGTCCGAGGCAGCTACGGTGAAAAGTTCTGTTCCACAAGGCACAGTACTCGCTCCCATGATGTTCCTCATCCTCATATCTGACATAGACAAGGATGTCAGCCACAGCACCGTGTCTTCCTTTGCAGATGACACCCGAATCTGCATGACAGTGTCTTCCATTGCAGACACTGCAAGGCTCCAGGCGGACATCAACCAAATCTTTCAGTGGGCTGCAGAAAACAATATGAAGTTCAACGATGAGAAATTTCAATTACTCAGATACGGTAAACACAAGGAAATTAAATCTTCATCAGAGTACAAAACAAATTCTGGCCACAAAATAGAGCGAAACACCAATGTCAAAGACCTGGGAGTGATCATGTCGGAGGATCTCACCTTCAAGGACCATAAAATTGCATCAATCGCATCTGCTAGAAAAATGACAGGATGGATAATGAGAACCTTCAAAACTAGGGATGCCAAGCCCATGATGACACTCTTCAGGTCACTTGTTCTATCTAGGCTGGAATATTGCTGCACACTAACAGCACCATTCAAGGCAGGTGAAATTGCTGACCTAGAAAATGTACAGAGAACCTTCACAGCGCGCATAACGGAGATAACACCTCAATTACTGGGAGCGCTTGAGGTTCCTAAACCTGTATTCCCTGGAACGCAGGCGAGAGATACATGATTATATACACCGGAAAATCCTAGAGGGACTAGTACCGAACTTGCACACAAAAATCACTCACTACGAAAGCAAAAGACTTGGCAGACGATGCAACATCCCCCCAATGAAAAGCAGGGGTGTCACTAGCACGTTAAGAGACCATACAATAAGCGTCAGGGGCCCGAGACTGTTCAACTGCCTCCCAGCATACATAAGGGGGATTACCAACAGACCCCTGGCAGTCTTCAAGCTGGCACTGGACAAGCACCTAAAGTCAGTTCCTGACCAGCTGAGCTGTGGCTCGTACGTTGGTTTGCGTGCAGCCAGCAGCAACAGCCTGGTTGATCAGGCTCTAATCCACCAGGAAGCCTGGTCACAGACCGGGCCGCGGGGGCGTTGACCCCCGGAACTCTCTCCAGGTAAACTCCAGGTAAACTGCTCCTTTCAAATTATATTTGCTTTCCTTAATTAGAAATAAAATACTAATTTGCATGTTAGTCTCCTGTATAAAGTCTTCCTATCTGTTTGGCTAAATGCTTTTACGCATATACAAAATGCCTTGGCTGTGACTGAGAAATTTGCTCCTGTTACCGTCCATGTAAAAAAAAAAAAAAGCCATTTATGTAAAAATCAACTTGGTCTAATAACCTGTTTCTGGCCCCAACTTTCCTAATTACTTGTTAAAACATTTCCTCTAATAACGTTACGAAAGGGAACGTTTAAATAGTTTCCTTAGAAAGCCAAGCTGAAGTCCAGGGAAACTTTACCACAGTATGACTATCTTTTTAATAATTATTGACTACTGCTATGAAGAAAAAACAAACACACACACACACACACATATTTATATATATATATATATATATATATATATATATATATATATATATATATATATATATATATATATATATATATAGAGTAATGAAACCACGAAACAAATGGTAATGAATCATTTATCCAACTGCGGTCAGCCGGGATTAGATCTTGCGACACATTCTTTCGCCTCAAGAGAAAGAACAATGTTCACATCGCCTTAAACACTTAACCAGTGATCCTACAAGAATCATGCACTCAGCAGAGCTAGGCGCTGTTCATTATCCGAGGACACTCATGGTAGTGGTAAGCTCAAGTCTTACTACCTTACTAAGGTTGGGCTAAGTGTAGTAGTAGTATTTAAAACGTAAGTTAATTACATTAATTTCGTTATAAGACTGATTTTCATAGCAAAATTAAAAATACGCTTGTCTTATTTTACAGAACAATCGTTGCTTTACGAGCCAAGTCGGAAAACTCTTGCTAAAAATCACGATCTATGTACTTTTTGCACCACTTATATTTTATTGTGCTCAATAATAATAAGACAAGAGAATCCGCAGCCGGCTGCCCGTGATTCGAACCCTGGTGTTTCATTTGTGAGCCGTTCATTGTGGTTTCAACAGTTAATTATTACAACTTAATTTGAGCTCGTGAACCAGAATATTTACATTAAACGTCTAATATATTCATCAGCCACTATGGCAAACTCACCTGAGAAAATATACTCTCAGGTTTCAATAACTATATTGACACTCACCTGAAAAAGAGGTAAATAACTAGGCCATTACCCACGAAGCCGATCACCATCAACACACTGTAGACGGAGGCCAACACTATGTGGCTGACGTGCGAGGGAGGCTCGAACTGCAGCCAATGATGGTTGACTACACACAGTAGCTCCCGGTCCCTGATTATCGGTCTCCACGCAAGCGGTACCAATATGAGGTCCCCACAAGACGTTCCAATAGCTCCCTCACTCTTTGATGTTATACCAGAGCTGCTCCCGTTGTATACCTCGTTTTCTACAAGTGAAATGTTACTATAAACATTAGTGGCTGTGGTTAAATTATCCAATATTTCCATTTCAATGTTAGTAACACTGTCTTCTATACTCCTGGTGCAACATATTGATCCTTTCCAGCTTATGTGGCTTATATTCCCGTCACTGGAATGCTGGTCGCTAATATCAGGATCGACTACTTCTAGTCTTCCAGCGTCGTGCAGACCGGTAGCAGAAGTTAGATTAGGTAGGGATCTTTCACCCTCGTCATCCTGCTTCCATAAATCTTGGTCTTTCAATTCGACACTTGATTCATTCCTCGGAATCAAGTTGTGAAGAGCAGGCACATCGAGCTTTCCGTGATGGGCATCAGTGACTCCAAGACTGGGCATGGTGGGCATGGAGGTGGTGCCAAGAGTCACGCCAAGTGGCAGAATGAGGACGGTCAGGTGGTACAGGAGAATTATACCAGGCATCACGAGAGATCAGGTGAGGTCAATGGAGACTCCAGGGATCAATGTTGCTTTGGCCATTGTTGAGCACCTTCAGCACCTCCTGTGGATGACAAAAATGGTATCAGTGACGTACGTAATGTGATTATGGCAGTGTAAGGCACCTTTTATTAAAAACAGGTATATATATATAATATATATATATATATATAATATATATATATATATATATATATATATATATATATATATATATATATATATATATATATATATATATATATATATATATATATATATATATATATATATATATATGTAATATTGGGAATTTTATAGCCTTCGTATTGGATGAAAAAAACTGAAGTGAACATTATGTTGCAGGGAATGTTTGTTAGGTATCCTCGAGGGAATATTTGTCAGGTATCCTCGAGGGAATATTTGTCATAAGAAGAACATAAGAACGAAGGAACACTGCAGCAGGCCTACTGGCCCATGCGAGGCAGGTCCAAGTCTCCTACCGGCTTAAGCCAATGCACCCAACCTAGTCAGGTCAGGTCACCCTGACTTAAGGGAGGAACACGGCAACCGTCCTGGTAGCACACGCTAATCAGGTCCAACTCACACCCACCCACACCCACTCATGTATTTATCCAACCTATTTTTAAAGCTACACAACGTTCTGGCCTCTATGAGTGTACTTGGGAGTTTGTTGCACTCATCCACAACTCTATTACCAAACCTGTACTTTCCTATATCCTTCCTGAATCTGAATTTTTCTAACTTAAAACCATTGCTGCGAGTCCTGTCTAGGCTAGATATTTTCAGCACACTATTTACATCCCCTTTATTTATTCCTGTCTTCCATTTATACACCTCAATCATATCCCCCCTAATTCTACGTCTTTCTAGAGAGTGCAGATTCAGGGCCCCTTTGTCCATCCTCATAGGGAAGGTTTCTGATACATGGGATCAACTTTGTCATCCTCCTTTGTACATTTTCCAGAGCATTTATATCTATTCTGTAATACGGTGACCAAAACTGTGCAGCATAATCTAAATGAGGCCTAACCAAGGATGTATAGAGTTGAAGAACAACCTGAGGACTCCTATTATTTATGCTTCTTGATATGAAGCCAAGGATTCTATTAGCTTTATTGCGAACACTTATGCACTGTTGTCTTGGTTTCAGATTACTGCTAACCAGAACTCCTAAATCTTTTTCACAATCCGTAATATTAAGATCTACATTATTTAGTTTATATGTGGCATGGTTATTGTCCTGTCCAACATTTAGAACTTTGCATTTGTCTATATTAAACTGCATCTGCCACCTCTCCGACCACTGCATCAGTCTACTCAAATCTTCCTGGAGTGCTCTAATGTCCTCTTCAGAATGAATTCGACGGCCTATTTTGGTGTCATCGGCTAACTTGCTGATGTCGCTCTTTATGCCCTCATCTATGTCGTTTATGTATATTGTGAACAGCTGGGGGCCCAACACTGACCCCTGTGGAACACCGCTCGTGACACTTCCCCACTCTGATTTCTCCCCATTTATGCAAACTCTCTGCTGCCTATTTGTCAACCATGCCTCTATCCAGGAAAAAATTTCTCCTCCTATTCCATGTGCCTTAATTTTCCTCAATAGTCTCTGATGTGGGACCCTGTCAAAAGCCTTACTGAAGTCCATATACACAATATCATATTCATTACCATGATCTACCTCCTCAAATACCTTAGTGAAAAAAGTTAATAAATTCGTAAGGCAGGAACGCCCCTTTGTAAAACCATGCTGAGATTCGTTGATTAATTTATGCTTCTCAAGGTGGCTACGAACTGCCTCGGCAATTATTGATTCCATAAATTTTCCCACTATGGAGGTTAGGCTTATTGGTCTATAGTTCGAAGCTAAGGACCTGTCACCTGCTTTGAAAATAGGTATCACATTTGCCATTTTCCACTTATCTGGCACCATGCCAGTTTGAAGTGATGTGTTGAAAAGATTAGCCAAAGGTTTGCTAAGCTCCTCTTTACATTCCTTTAGAACCCTTGCATATAGTTCATCAGGGCCTGGGGATTTGTTAGGTTTTAATTTATCTATTTGCCTAAGGACCATGTCACTTGTGACCCTAATCGTGCACAGTTTATTATCGTCCTGTTCCACATAATTTATCATTTCTGGAATATCGCTGGTATCCTCCTGTGTAAAAACTGAGAGGAAGTATGTGTTAAAACTTCTACACATTTCCTTATCACTGTCAGTGAGCTGACCCGAGGAACTTTTGAGTGGGCCTATCTTGTCCCTGATCTTACTTCTGTATACCTGAAAGAATCCTTTTGGGTTAGTCTTCGAATCTCTTGCAACTTTAACCTCATAATCTCTTTTTGCTTTTCTAATTAGTTTTTTTATTTCTCTCTTTAACTGAATATATCGATTTCTTAATTGCCCCTCTCCTCTTTTGAATTGCCTATATATGCCTCTCTTTTGACCAGTTAGATATTTTAATCTATTGTTCATCCATTTAGGATCATTTTTGTTTGATCTGATTTCTCTATTTGGAACATAATTTGACTGAGCAGCTAGAACTATGCCCTGGAAAGCGTCATATCGGCAACCATCACCACCTACCTGACCCTTAGTCAGGTCATTCCAGTTCAGCCCACCTAAGTAATTTTTCAGTCCTTTGAAATCAGCCAAGCGGAAGTCAGGGACAGAGACTTGATTGCCATTATTAGGGGAATTCCATGATTTGTTATCACTTTCCCCAAGCTCATCATTAACCTCAAGATTATTAATTAGTGTTTCCCTACTGGCAAGAACCAAGTCAAGGAGGTTATTTCCCCTAGTTGGCTCTGTCACAAACTGTTTTAAAAAACAATCCTGGATCGTATCAAGAAAGTCACCTGACTCTAAATTTCCTGTCAAATAGCTCCAGTCAATCTGTCTATAGTTGAAATCTCCCATTAGCACAACATTTTCGTATGTAGATGCCTTACGAATTTCGTCCCACAGAAGTTTACTGCACTCCCTAACAAGATTTGGGGCCCTGTAAATCACACCCAAAATTAGTTTTTCTAGGCCCTCGAGAAGCTGTAACCAAACAGATTCAGTGGCTGACGCTTCTAATTTAATATCTTGTCTAACACAACAATTTAAATTGTCTCTGACATAAATCGCTACTCCACCACCTTTCCTGTTGACCCTGTCAGTGTGGAATAATTTATAGCCTTGTATGTGACATTCAGAGGGCATCTCTCTATCTTTCAGATTGAGCCAGGTCTCTGTTATAGCAATAATATCTATGTTTCCTGCACTTGCAATTAATCTTAGCTCATCTATCTTATTTCTTACACTCCTGCTATTAGTATAGTAAACCTTAAGGAAGCTAGTCCCTTGCTGCCCTCTGATGTCCCCCTTTGTTTGCTGACCTGATCTATTGTTTTTATTTATAACTTCATGCTGAATGCCTTTTATAAATTTACTGTTTCCAACCCTAGTGTTGCAACCTGCTTGTTTCCCACACTCACCCATACCTCTATCTTCCATCAGTTTAAAATCATAGGCATTTCACCAATGGCCTTCTCAATCGAGTCTGCAAGTGCTACCACCCCAGCCCCAGAGAGATGTACCCCATCCCTTGCATACATATCATGTTTGCCATAAAAGTTGTTCCAGTTGTCAATGAATGGGATTGCAAGTTCCTTGCAGTATCTGTCTAGCCAGCAATTTACACCAATTGCCCTAGACAACCATTCATTTCCTGCTCCCCTTCTAGGCAAGATGCTACATATAGATGCTACATAGTCGAGTTCTTGTAGATGAGGATATCTTGAATTCATGACAGATGCTTGATCAACCTTTACTCCTCTCTAAGAGCTACGCTGATTCCTTTAACCGCGATGGCATTGTGGCTGCACCTTGTCAGGCGAGTCCAAAACACACACACCACACACACACACACACACACACACACACACACACACACACACACACACACACACACACACACACACACACACACACACACACACACACACACACACGCACACACACACAAACTGGAGCCACGTAGGGGTCCCATAACATAGAGAGCCAAAATGATGGATGTGGTACTGGAAAATCTCATGCATCAACATGTTAGGGACACTGCCAGAGAGAGAGGTGAGGATGAACCAGTAAAATTGGACCTCTTGTTCACCCTGAGTAGCTCGGACACCGGGGACATCACATATGAAAGGCCCCTCAGAGCAAGTGATCACGTGGTTCTGAGCTTTGAATACATAGTAGAGTTACATGTGGAGAGGGTAACATGAGTAGGACGTGAAAAGCCAAACTACAAAAAGTGGGACTACACAGCATGAGGAACTTCCTGCAGGAGGTTCAGTGGGAAAGAGAATTGGTAGAAAAATCAGTAAACGAAATGATGGACTATGCAACAACAAAATGCAAGGAGGCAGAGCAGAGGTTTGTTCCCAAGGGAAACAAAAATAATTGGAAGACCAGAACTAACCCTTCGTTTACCCGAAGATGTAGGGAGTCAAAAACCAAGTGCACTAGAGAATAGAAAACGTACAGAAGACAAAGGACCTAGGAAAATAAAGAGATTAGTCGAAGAGCCAGAAACGAGTATGCGCAGATAAGGAGGGAGACCCAGCGACAGTATGAAAACGACATAGCATCGAAAGTCAAGTCTAACCCGAAGCTGTTGAATAATCACATCAGGAGAAAGGCAATAGTGAAGGACGAGGTAATCAGGCTGAGGAAGGAAGGTGGGGAGCTCACAATAAAACGACCATGAAGTATGTGAGGAGCTCTGCATGAGACTTAATGAAGTATTTACAGTGGAGTCAGAAGAGATTCCGGGAAATCAGAATAGGTGAATACAACAACAAGAGACATACCAACAAGAGCTGGATGAAATGCACACAACCGAGAAGGAAATGAAGAAGCTGCTAAGTGAACTTGATACCTAAAAGGCGGTGGGACCGGACATCTCTCCGTGAGTCCTTAGAGAGGGAGCAGAGATGCTGTGTGTGCCACTAACAACAATTTTCAACACATTCATTGAAACTGGGCAACTACCTGAGGTATGGAAGACG